TTTGTGCTTTCCATTGTAGATATGTGTACATTGCTAGTACTGAAGAATACTATGCTATAAAAGATACGAAATGTGTCAACGAAAAGTAAGTCTTTATTTATTTTGAATATTGTTTTTCATTCGAGCATATCATCTATATATAGAAATTTTATTTTTGACTTAATCGTTTGCTGAAAAGCAAATGCGGACAGTTGGAGATTGTTTTGTATCGTTTGAAAGTATAGATCGATCTATTCTCGATTAATGAATTTACTCCACCATCACCTCTCTAGTTACCTGATACGTGCAAGCAAGCAAGCCAATCTATTTTATTTAATATGATATTGCCTCAAATTGAGGAAAAAGGTGAGAGCATATTTTTATTCTTTACTCCGTTCGTTATATTTCGATCAGTGGTGAAATATCTGTCGGTTACGGAACAATGATTTTTGTTTTTTACAAATTGACGTTTTTTCAATACTCCTATGCGTAGCTTGTCGAAGGACGACGTATCGCTAAACAAGCTGTCCCACCTCCTATTACTCGCCATTTTTCATTCATGCGCTAATACATAATGAATAAACATGCATTCACTGCACGTGGTGGGCTTAAATCGTCAATCAACGTTACGTTTCATCGAGAGCATTAAACATTCATAGTCTTATAACATGGCAAAAGCGAAATCACCTCAGGAAAACCTCGCCAATTCTCGATATACAGACTTGGTTGGAGAACCTGTTGCACGTTTTCTCTCACCAATTAAAGGTTACGAATCTACTCCACTCCTCTCACTCGAACAAGCCGTAGCTCCTATTACACATTTTTTTGATTGTATCGAAGAAAATGTATGGGTGGCCAAAGAAAATTCTAAAACTCCTTCGGATGGTCTTAGTGTAGAAGAATCAGCAGCAATCCATTTGTATACGATGCAATTTGATTCAAATCCAAGTTTCTATCAACTTCTTAATTCAACACTTCGAGGTGAAAATCGCGATGACCTCAAGCCATGGTTTTCTTATCTTAAATTATTTATGACGGCTCTTCACAAACTTCCATCTCATCCTCAGATCATTTGGCGCGGTGTGCGTGGTGCTGATCTAAGTAAGCAGTACCCAACTGGAACCAAATTTGCATGGTGGGGTGTAAGCTCATGCACGACCAATGTTGAAGTCCTTCAGGCAGAAACATTTTTAGGCAGAAAAGGCATGAGAACTTTATTTTCGATTGAAAGTATGAATGGAAAATCAATCGCTCCACATTCATATTTCAAAGATACAGAAAAAGAAATCGTACTGATGCCTGGTACTTATTTCGAAGTGATCGGACAATTGAATCCAGCAGATGATCTGTATATTATTCAAATGAAAGAATTAGAACCACCATTTCCATTCGTTAAACCACCGTTTAAAAGGGAATCAGTTACACCAAATGTGTCAAAGCCTTCTGATAGTATCGCATCACCATCAACCATTTCTGCACCGGGTAACTGGCTTCCACCATCGTTAAAGAGTATTCTATATTTGATTGATTATTCTAGTACCTCAGTCAATGCCACAAGTTAGCTCAAACGAAAGTGCCAGTTCCACAATAACAGCGACAAAAGTTGAGCAAACGCCGCCGCCTCCGCCTCCTAAGCCAGCCAGTGAGTATAAAAAGCATCAACAAATTTAAAAACATTAAATCAATATTAAACTTTCCTTTGTAGAAGTTCGCATTATCAGCTCGACAATGTCACCACCAATGCAAGAAGCCGTAATTAATATCATTCGAGAGGCTATTGATGAGGGAACGGACGCAGAAGACATCAAATTAATTATTAAAAGTGACCTTGTCCAACGCTACGGTGGAATCTGGTGGCCTAACATAAATGACACTCCAATTTCTTACAAACCTATAGGTGGAAATCCTTTCCTATCTGTCAAAATTGGCCAATATAACGTGACAGTTCTTCGGAATTAATCAAATTTTCCACTTGTTCCAATTGCAATCGTGAACTTTCAACAAACAGACACATTTTTTCGAAATAAAACTACTACTAATAAGAGCAATAATCTTTACTGATGTAACATATCGCAGTAACTGACCATTTATTTGATATTTCAGAAATTAGGTTCAGATATACGCAAATGTCGACCTTCACTTACAATGAAGGTGTTTGTATTGTAACCGAACTAGACTTGATATTTTGGCATCAAATGAAAGCTGTCACCGTCAAACTAACAAGGTTAAAATATTAGCTGCTGTTAGCGTACCCTGAGGGAGATATTCAATTTTTACGGTATCAGTAGTTGGGGTGTACAAGTATATTAGAATTATTTACATTAATTTTCTATACGCTCAACTGAGTATTTCTATAGTAGACTATAAAAATATTTCTGAACTTTATCAATAGCAGGGTGTAGGTGTGGGTGTGGGGGG